CAGCAAGTTCTGTCAATTTCACCAACCATTCCTCCATGGTGGGTAATGCCAAATCTTTCCACCTTTGTGCACTCACTGCAGTAATTATATATTAAAATAAACTTCCAAGGCTTTTTTCTAACTGTTTATCCATCAGTCCTAAAAGGAAAAATTCTGGCTTCAACTGAGTATTAATCTTTAAAACCCTCTGTATCAATGTGTGTATTTGAATCCAAAAATGTTTAACTTTTTTACATGTCCCCCAAGCATGATAGAATGTCCCTTCATGTTGATCACATTTCCAACATACATTTGGAATGTCTTTACACATTCTAGATTATTTCTCTGGCATCATGTACCAATGATACATAATTTTATAAAAATTCTCCTTAAGATCATAACATAATGTAAATTTCAACCCTTTTGACTACATATTTTCCCACTGATACATCTGTATATTATAACCAAAATTCTTAGCCTACTTTATCATACATTCTTTAACCTGTTCTTCCTCTGTTTCAACTTCAACAAAAGTTTGTACATTTTAGCAATTACATGTTCATCATAGGTACACAATTGCACTTCAAATTCTGTCTTACTTTGCTCCATACCATAAGTCTTTTTATCCGTTTTAAATCTTTCTGATAACTGTAAATGGGAAAACCATTGACAACTACATCCTTCTGCCACTAGTTGCTCTCTTGATTTAATTTTATGTTCCCCTTGGTGGTTCTCCAATAATTCCTAGTCCTTTAACCATTTGTCTTTGCCTGTTGCTTCTCTTCTATAAAATGCTTCTTGTGCTGAGATCCACAGAGGTGTTTTCATGCACAGCCTAGGTTTATACAGTATCTATTCCATATTCTCAATATGGCACGTTTAATAAAATGTTTTTTAAAATCCACATTCTTTAACTTTATTGTATCATAAATATCCATGCCATCCAAATCTCAGGTCATACTCTTGTAACTCTAAAAGTCTTTTGTTTCTCAGCAACACCCATTATTTCATCCAAACCAAACAACAAGCTGCAAAATACAATTTCAAATCTGGTAAATCTAATCTTCCTCTTTCCTTTGCATCTTATAACACTTTGTATTTAACTCATGGTTTTTTCCCTTGCCATATAAATCTAGATACATCTTTTTGTCATTGCTTGAATGGTACATCAGTTGTCAAAACAGGTATTGTCTGAAACAAAAACATTCTAGACAAAGCATTCATTTTTATCACAGAAATTCTCCTCAACAGTGAGAATTTTAATCTCCCATCTTAACACATCCTTCTTAATTTCATTCCATGTCTTAACATAATTGATCTGAAATAACATACAATTCATATTTGTCATATTAATACCCAAGTATTTTACTTTTTTCTCAATCTTAAAAGCAGTTTTCTCCATCAATTCTATCTGATCTAATTTTATTTTTTTTGTTAACATCTTTGTCTTCTGATTATTAATCTTAAACCCTGCTAGCCTACCAAAGTCCTTTAATTTTCCCATTAAAGTTTCTACTCCCTCTAACAATCCTCCAAAACTACCACCAGGTCATCAGCAAATGCTCTTAACTTATATGTTTCTTTTAAAATATTTAGTCCCACAATTCTCTCATATTGTCTTATGTTTCTATTCAGTACTAAAATGAACAAGAGTGGAGACAGCGGGCATCATTGTCTTATCCCTGTTTCACTCTCACAAGGTTTTGTTAACAAAAATCAAGTAGAGGAACTTTTGCTTTGCAAAACAGTTACTTTGACAGAAATGTGTAACACTCTAGCCAGGAATTTGTGTTAGAAATTTTCCTTTTTTCCCACCGTGTGGTGCTAAGTCAAATCTATTGTCGTTTATTTCTCTGTACAATTGTATATACTTTTAACAGATATTCCATACTTCATGTTCATGGGGGTTTTTTTGTTAGCATGGTTTTATTAGCGTGTTTTGTTTTGTTTGGTTAGCAACTTTAGATCATATCTTTCCTTGTAATCTTTTGGTGCTTTGTGACATTCTGTACCAGGAGCTTTTTATTTGGAACACAGCATTTTCCTTTCTAATAAGTTGCTGTCCATGATTTGAACAGCTCTGCATTTTAGCTCTTTCACCATTGAAAGCTAGTACTTATTCTTTAAAACTAAAGGAGTGTTGTATTTTTTTTAATTAATTTTTTTTAAAAATATATTATTTTTTTTTTATTTTTATTTTGCTTACCTCTTCTGGTGTTGGGCTATGTATTGGGAATGGAGAGGAAAGGCTGAATACTCCAATGACACAACTCTATGCCATGTGGAAGGATGTAACATGATAGTTCTTCCCCTGCCTTTTTTTTTTTTTTTGCTTTTTAATTGCAAAAAAGGTGGCACGAGTAGTGGCACGGGTATGGGATCCTTTCTCTCTCACTTCTGGGGTTAGGGAATGAACCCCATATGAGGGGTATCCAGAAGATATGTAGTGACAGCAGATACTACCAAGCCACTAAACAAAAGCAGGAGTGAGACAGGGAGTGAAGTCCAGGGGTCTTCTGGGAAAGGAGGCTTGGCATTTCCAGCCGTCTACTCTATAGGTTTCAGCCATTCTACTATACAAGGTTTCACAAATATACTTAGCATGTGCTTTTAAGGAAGTAAGAATTTATTAGATTTATCAGCTGTCCAAACTGTAAGATGCAGCTTCTGAGCAACCAACGTATGGTTTCACTTTCCTACATATTTTCATTTCCTACATATATGTTACTCATCCCATTTCCTATATATATGTTACTCATCTCATTTCGGTGAGTCATTTTCAGCATGCTTTCCTTTAAAAATACAACTCTCCACGATAAGAAGCCCTGTAGAAAAGTCAGCCAGAGTGTATGCAGAAGACAAAAATACAGTTCAAGAAATACAGTTCTATATGCAGCTATGCAGAAATATAACTGTACTGAATAATCCATAGAGCATAATTTGCTACTTAGAGACCCTTGCAGGCAAGGAAAGAAGATTCTTAAGTGTTGGGTTTATAAGACAATAACAAGTTCTGTCCAAATTATCCCTCAGTTTAGGCATATTCCTCGGCTTGGGCTTATGGGGGGATTGCTCCAGCAGTGACAAATACTACTTCAGCTGCAGTTAATAATGTCTGCTTTTATGCTATTTATCCTTGGATGAGGTGGGGGAAAGGTTTGCATGACATGCCACATGTGGTTCATTAAAATAACTGTGTTTAATGAACACAATTATATACATAAAGGATCCAAATGTAGATGTATGCAAGAACAACCACCACCTTTAAAATAAAAAAAAAATTCCTTGTTTCTAGGCCTTTTGCAACAATATAGGCAGTTGTCAGTTAAAACTCAGCATAATTGTTATCAATCATTATTGCCCTAAGCTGGATTGTTTTCCCTATGCCCTTTTTAAAAGTCCATAGGGGCATTATTTGACCATTTTACCATTTATCTGAGGCAGAAGAGTTTCAACCCCTGTTCTACTTCGTTTTGAAGCAGTGATTTTCTATATGCTATAGAAACTATCTGAGGGCAGGAGAGGCATTGACTCAGTTGAATGGCTGTTTCTTCCTTTGCACAACACCAAGTGAACTACTGAAATAAACCTGTAACAAACTGAAACTGTCTGCCCAAAGCAGACAGATGCCTCCTAGTGACATAACATGGAAAAGTGGAATTGGCACAGAAAAGCACAC